CAAATTGCCAACTCTAGCCATTTATTCTCTTTTAAATCATAAATGTCCGAATAGTTGTTTCTTCGTACAAGAAATGAAATTTGTAGTAGAAATAGCGTGGGATAACCACCCTTTAACATGGTATTTAGTTTTTATCCAGTATTTTCAATGTTGAGCAAAAATAGCCACTACTCTATTAAAATTAATGCGAAAAGACGTTTTTATCCTTTCATCATGAGTGTTGTGTAAATATTAAGGACATAGTGTCCTTAACATTTACATTGCACACATGAAGTTAAGGACGCCATGTCCTTAACATTTACACTGCACATATGAAGTTAAGGACTTGACATGACACTTTGTCCTTAATATTTACACAGCATTCGTGAAGTTAAGGACATATGCCCTTAATATTTATACAAGACTCATAAGTTAAGGACACTATGAGTGTGTTTGGTAGGAAGGAAAACATTTTCCGGAAATGTTTTCCAATTTTCTCATGTTTGGTTGGCTTAAATGTTTTGGAAAACATTTTCCTCATCAACTCATTAACTCCTTCTCAAGCTTCCCCACCCTATTCTTTACCCTCACCAACCCACCCCACACCCACCCACCTAACCCCACCCCATGCCCTCTCTTCAAAAAGATTTTTTTTGTCACCACCCACCCACCCTCCACCTCCACCCCACCCCCACCCCCACCCCGCAAAAAATTTTTTTGTAATTTTCAAATTTCTATTTTTTTCTGCCCCCACTCCCGCACAGAAACAAAAAATTCAACTTTTTTTGTAATTTTCAAATTTCTATTTTTTTCTGCACCCCCAACCCCCCGCTTCCCTCCCGCCCCACCCCAACCCCCACCCCCAGGAAAAAATATTTTTTTTTATATATTTTCAGTTTTACTTTTTTCATCTTCCGGTATACAAGTTCAAAATTTTACAAGTTCCAAAGTTATGAGTTCGGAAGTTTACGTGTTTCGAAGTTTACGAGTTTAGAAATTATAAAGTTTACGGGTTCGAAATTTCGCGGTTTCGAAAGTTTTGCGGTTTAGAAGTTTATGAAATTTGTGGGTTCGGAAGGTTGTTGGTTCGAAAGATTATGGCTTCATGTTTATTGTATCAAAATTATTTATGAATACTCTTGAGAAAATATTTTCCTTGATTTGCGTACCAAACACCAGAAAATGAATAAGATTACTACTTGTTCTCCAAGAAAATATTTTCTTGGAAAATATTTTCCATGGAAAATATTTTCCTTTATACCAAACACACCCTATGTCCTTAATATTTACACTGCATATATGAAGTTAAGGACATGAGGTCCTAAAGTTTAACAACAAAAGGTGCGAATACAAGTTAAGGACATTATGTCCTAAACATTTACACTGCACACATGAAGTTAAGGACGCCATGTCCTTAACATTTACACTGCACATATGAAGTTAAGGACATGACAGGACACTTTGTCCTTAATATTTATACAACATTCATGAAGTTAAGAACACCATGTCCTTAATATTTACACAGCACCCATGTCTAGCACGGGGGTATTTTCGTCCGGACGGATAAAAATTTATTAAACACTGGCTAAAGAGTAAATACATTTTAAACATTGACCAAAGAGTAAAGACATCTCTAATTAACAGCTAACTGTGCACTTGCCAATGCTCAATATCAAGCTTATGTTTTAGCTGCCCCCTCCTATCACAAAAGAAATGAAATTGGCTATTTATGTCATAGCTTGAGAGAAAATGACAGAATAATGGTCTCTTATATTTGGGGTAAGTTTAAAATAGTCTCTTAAATAAACTCTTCAACAGTTTTGATCTTTTAAGTGTATCAAAAGTGAGCAATTATGATCTTTCTGAAATATTTAACAAACTCTATTCGTTTAAGTGTGAGAGGAAAAATGGGGGAAAAAATAGATTTAACAGGACAAATGGCTATAGCGTTGGTCATTGAAGTATGATTGTCTCAAGATACTAACTAGTAACTCGTCAGGTAATTTACTCTTTTTACTGGCACTTCTTTTCCTTATCTTAGGAAGAAGTAAAAGTAGCACGGTTTAGCTAGTTTTCGGATTGGTAATTGAAAAATAGTTAGCGTTTGCAAGTCATTGAAAAATAACCACTGTTTTGCTGAAACACGGAAAGTTCTAGCATAATATGCTGGATTATGGAGCTCCTGCGTATAAACTTCCCGCATATTATGTTGGAACTACGACACGAAAAATTCTAGCATAATATGCTAGATTATGAAGTTCCTCAATTTCAACTTCCCGCATATTATGTTGGAACTCCAGAACATTATGAAATTCCAGCATATTATACTGGAATCTCATATGTAAAAATTCGAACTCCAGCATATTATGCTGGAATTTTTCTAGATTTTTAAGAGTGTTTTTGTTCAAAATATATCTTTATATGAAAAAATGACTAAATTTCGATTACTTTTGAAACTATTGCTATTTTTCAATTACCAGTTGTAAATTTGGTTATTTATATTTTTTTACCTAGGAAGGAGGAAAAGAAGGAATTAATGGTCCAATACTATAGCACAAGAAAGAAACTGGGTACCATTTTGGACTTGCTATTTGCTAGGCCATTTTCTGCTAAAGTAGCAAAATGCTATGGGCTGAAAGCCCATCTTTTCTTATTCATAGGCTGCGTAGACATCCTTCTCTCTTAATTGGTTTTCTTATGCCACGCTGTGGTCCACAGTCCACACAAAGCTTTCTGAGTAGCTTCTTCGCATAGGTGTTGACTTTTGAATTTTCATTGCAACAACAACTGCTGAAGCTGATAAATACCGCACTTTATAGTTTATACTTTAAACCAAACAAAGTAGAGCAGAGTAATTCTTCAATAATCTACCACCTCCTACGCTACCACCCTATAAGATTTTTTTTTTTTTAATAAATTTTATATACATTTACAAGTATAAAACTTCTTTTATATTGTCAATATAATTTGTTTTACAATTTAAATTACTAATCTCGCTTTTTATAGACGACCACATATAAATATCTTTTAGATGACTTTGACAGTGGAAATGTTCTTCTACAATATTAGTCTAATAGCAATAATAACAACAACAATATACCCAGTAAAATCTCACAAGTGAGGTCACTGAGGGTAGTGTGTTTGGAGACTTTACTTCTACCTTGTGCAGTTAAAGAGGCTGTTTCCGATAGTCCTTCAGCTCAAGGCAAGCATAGTCACAACAATTTAGAGAAAGAAATACAGTATTGAACAAGTCAATGAAAAAGAAGCGATAACAACAATAAGGTAATCATAAAGAAATAGAAGCAACATCAGATAGTAATAGAGATCTACGCATAAGAAGATACAAAAAATAATACTACAACTACTGGAGTGGAAAGGAAACACAAACTACCTACTAACCTTCTTCTAAAACATTACTCTAATTAAACTCAAAAGGAAATCCCTTTAATGTTTAAACAATAAAGTTGAAGAGTACCCATTATTTGATCCTTATATTACATAGCCCTCCTCTAAAAAACTTTATAGCCCAAGTCTAGTCAGTACTACTATTATGTGTATTGTCAGACTTTGCTAGAACCTAATTAATCTGCAATAATACTATACCAAATCAATATATACTATCACCCTTCATTCATCAAACTAGGGGAGCTGCTTTAATTTAAACATTGGAGGGAACTAGGAAGAGTAACAGTGAAGAAAAATAGATACTATAAGTCCTATGCGTAATGATAAAAGAAATAAAGGAGGAAACAACAATAACATACTCAGTGCAATTCTACACAATGGATTTAAGAAAAATAGTGTGTACGCAGACCTTACCCCTATCTTACAGAGGTAGAGAGATTATTTCGAATAGACCGCTGGTCTCAAGATTGTACATGCACAACAATTATGAAAAAGAAATACGATAGTAGAGAAGGGATGAAAGGAGACCGTAACAACAACAAGATAATAGGATAACAGAGCGATACAAACAACAGGTAGCAATAGAAATATGATATTAAAAAATTACGAGAATACATACAAATACTACTGGTATGGAAATAAAAGGAGTAAAGAAAACAAAAGAATAATAAAATATTTTAACATACATCACAAGAAAGCATTAGCTCGTTTCTGAAAAACTGCATGGAAACTGGTTACTGGTCCAGACTCCAATGACGTTAAGCTGGTCCCCTTCAAAACCCTAATCCCATTTCAAAGCACAAATCCTTCATTAACCACAAATATTCAAATTCTTTGTAACCCCACAAAATAAATACACTAAGCTATACACATTAATTCTGTTTATAAACGTTGGCTCTATAAATTAAACAGACAACAGAAGCAGCTAGCAATATCACAAGACTATATATTGCATGAGGCGGTGTGACACACTAAACGAATCTCATGTCGATAAAACACGGAAGAGATGCTGAATATATAAGTAAACAAGTCTTAGACCCTAGTAACGCATTTTAAAACTGTGCGGACCCACGCCCAAATCGAACAATATCAACCAGATTTAAAAGGCTATTTCTTCATATCTCCTTTTCACTACTGCCTACTCTGCTATTTTAGTTATTATTATGATTATTGCTATCTATGCCTTTTTTAGCCTCGAGAACCGTTTCTTTTTGTACTTGGCTTGGCTTTGTAGATCTTCTGTCCTTTGTTGTTATTCTACTTTTTCCTCTAACTTTTACTGCTGGAGCAATAAATTACTACAAAAACAGGACAATTTCATATCCTCTATGCTCCATTAGCTCTAACCTCTACCTTTCTTTATATTCATTATAAACAGATTCAGAGATTCACAGACTGAACCATTTTCTTTCTGTTCGATTCTTTATTTTTCTTGGGATCTCTTTGTCTTTTTCATGGAAGTCCACAACTAAAGTTTTTTCTTGTGCTATTCTTTTTGGCACTCTTCAGTTTCTTATCTGCTTATTCTTGGCTATCCTGAATTATCAATGAATAACTTTTTTATCAAAATTCAGATTATGTTTCTCCAATTTGTCCTTGTTGGGGTGTATATTATGTACAAGGTTGAAGCAGATGCTTCAATAGCTCCAATGGAGAAATATGAGAAAGAGGCATTGTACTCTGCAATTCAAGGTTTTGTTGGAAAAGAATGGAATGGTTCATACCTTTATCCTGATCCTTGTGGCTGGACAACAATAGAGGTACTAAACTTATTTATGACTTGCTAGGTACTGTAATTTTACCATTAATTTTTTTTTTGTTCTAATTGGAAATCAATAACACAGTAATGCTAGTTCATTATCTGTTACAGTTTTTTTGGCTTCGTTTATTTTTGTTTTCTTGCTGTTGCTACTGCTTCTTGCCTTCTCCACTACCATTTTTCCTTTTTATGAGTCATGACTGCTGAAATTATGCTTTTCTTGAGCTGAGAGTCTATTGTAAACAATCTATCCACCTTCACAAAAGTAAGGACAAGTTCTGCATACACATTATCTTCCCCACACCCCACTTGTAGGATTTCACTAGATATTTTTTTACTAGTAATGCTAGTTCAGACATCATAAGTTAAAAAGGTTGCTCCAGCAGTTAGTAGAGTATGAGACAAAGCCATGCATGGATTTTTTAAAACCCTTTTCGTGAATATTGTAATTAGTGAGAGCTAAGAATTTACCAGATTCTCATATTATAGACCCGTATGGTCCGGCCCTTCCCTGGACCCCACATATAGCGGGAGTTTAGTGCACCTGAGTTGTTCTTTTTTTCTTTTCCAGGTAGTAGTATTTCTCTTTTGGATTTGCAAACAGTGGGAATGTGTGATTTGAGTGTCTGTGTAATTAAGTAGTTTTCCAACATCTAACACATTCTACTAGTACTATTATGTAACCAGAGTAAGACTTTTTCTGAGTTCACTTCTAATTCCTTACTAAATTAAAAACTTAACTTATAGTATACTTTTACATGTAAAGAACTTTTACGCTATCATTATATTTTAACATGTTATGATAGGTAAGCTATTTTATTTGCCATGTTACTAACCCCTTTTATCATCGACATTTGCTTGTCGTATAGTTTGGTAGTATATGAATTGTTTTACACTGCCAGTGTATGGAAGTTACATTCTGTAAATTATTTTCCGCAAAGGACTAATTTACCAGAAACCGACTTTACTAAGCTTGGAAACAAGAATTACATTCCTTAGACCATAGTACTTGTATTAGCTCTAAGAAATCTTGTTTAACCTCTTATCCACAGGGAGTATCATGTGATTTCTCTAATGGCTTCTGGCACATAACTGAATTAAGCATTGGAGAAGTATATGACAATTCTCTTAGCTGCTCCTCAGCTGCAGAGTTCAGAGAAGACTTGTTTAAGCTCAAGCATCTAAAAAGACTTTCCTTCTCAAATTGCTTTCTCTCATCTCACCACAAACCAATTACAATTCCCACATCAAATTGGAATAGTCTTGCTAACAGCCTTGAATCGTTAGAGTTTCGATCAAATCCTGGTCTAACCGGGACAATTCTCACCAGTTTTGGCAACCTTAAGAATCTTCAATCTCTAGTACTGCAAGAAAATAGACTCAAAGGAGAAATACCAGAAGCTTTAGGCAGCTCAATAAAATTAGTGCGCCTAGTTCTTTCAGGAAACAGTTTTGTAGGTCCAATTCCTCCTAGTCTAGGAAAATTGACAAATCTTTTGATATTTGACGCGAGCAGGAATTTTCTATCTGGTACATTACCTGTGACTTTTGGTGATTTGGCTTCACTTATAAAGCTTGATTTGAGCAACAATTTATTAGATGGAAAATTACCTAGAGAAATTGGAGGCTTAAAGAGTATAACACTGCTTGATCTGAGCCATAACAAATTTTCAGGGGGTTTGCCAGAGATAATTCAAGAAATGGTTTCATTACAAGAACTTGTGTTATCTAACAATCCAATAGTTGATTATGTTACAAGAATTCAATGGCAGAAACTGAAAAATTTAGAAATCCTGGATCTTTCCAACATGGGATTGAAAGGGAACATACCAAATTCCATGACAGAAATGAAGAAGCTGAGATTTCTCAGCCTCAGCAGTAATAGTCTTTCAGGAAACATTCCATTGAAATTTGAGAGAATGCCAACTATTCATGCTTTGTATCTTGATGGAAATGACTTCACAGGGAAACTTGAATTTTCAATGAGGTTCTATGAGAAACTAAGGAGTCGTTTTCGAGCTTCAGGTAACGTGAATCTATGCTCGTCTCTCGAGTTAATGTCGACAAGGCATGTACCAGAAGGAGTAAAACAATGTGAACAAGATAGTATAATGCATAGTGAAGATTCAGACACCAGTTTAAAGAATGAATTTTTGAATCAGAATCTGCATCTTATTGCTTCTTTTGGACACTCAGTCCATGTTGTTAGTGGTTTTACATTTTGTTTTGTTGCAAGGATGATACTTATGGCTCTTCTTTGGATTATATGAATAAATTACTACAGGCAGAGTAAAAAAGCTCAAACTCGAGACTTTGATTAGCCTGGATAGTTCTATACTAAGTTGCTCCGACACGGCGGTTTAGGTGTCGCACCCGTATCGACACGACACTAGTATGGGTGTGGGTATGGGATCTACCGGATTTGGTCAAACATTTTTGGGTACTTTGATCACGACGGACGAAAAAATTCGAGACGAAATACAATTTGATTCTCGAAATCAAAACCAAAACTACGGTAAATTTGAAAAAAATAGCATATCTTATCTAAGAAATCAATCATTTACTCATCTACAACATAAAAAAGAAATTCATACTTTACAACAAAATTTCTCATAATTTATAGATTTTTTTATTCTTTTATTTTTTTGAATTATTTTTAGTCGAATCCCCGCACCCGTATCCGTACTAGGATCCGCGCCCCCGAATCTTAGAATTTACATCTCGAAGGATCTGACCTCTAGATCCGCACCTGTGTCGGACACCCGCACTCGTGTCCGAGCAACTTAGGTTCTATATAATATTATTTTTGGTTAATCAAAGCTTAGGCTTGGCGTTCGAGCTTGTTTGGATGATTTGTTGTCTATTGTAGGTACTGTGTTTTCTACATCGTTGAATTGGAGCAATAATTATTAACCAAAAAAGACAAACAAGTTGGATTCTTTTTTCCTATTATTGTTTAAAGATTAACACAGGATTAACATTAATAAATCAATTTGTAAAAGGAAATTATCCTGTCATTTGTCGAGAAACACGTTTGTACATGACTGATGAAATGAAACAAAACATGAATAAATTTGCATTATGATCCTAAATTTTCAAAATAATGATTTTGATTTAGTAGGAAAATATGAATTGGTTTTAGTCGAGATTGCTTTGACTTCTTATGCGTTTTAGCTTTAAGCGTTCCTTTTTATTCCTTTTAGCTTCGTGCTCTATTATTCAAATTGGTATGATACGTTTTGGATCAACTCTCGAGATAATCTGTCCTGTGGCACCAACTGTTTTTTACATTCCTATCCCACTTATAAAACCTTTTAACCCTATATGTTTAAGGTTTCACTTAAGTACATTTAACATATCAAATTATCATTTATATACCATATCTAATTAAGGTTATAATTAATGTGATATTTTATACTCCTTAATTTAAGCACTTCCGTTATTTGACAGTATTAAGTACTAATCCTCTATTTCTCTCTCCTAACCCCTCATCCCCATACCCCCACGTTCATTTGTACCCTCCCACGCTTATTCCTCCATTTTTCTTCTTCTGTAACCACTCTCTTTACCTCTAAATTCAAATAAAATCCAGTAAACCCTACAAAAAAATTCCTATCCTCATTTTTATTTACTTGAATTTCATCAATGAAGATCAAGCAAGGTTCGAAAACGAGTCCAAAAAAACCAGCAGTAGGTAAATTACCCTCCTTTGATTTGGGTGTTTTATCCCCCAAATCACCCAAAAACCTAGGTAAATCTACACATGCACTTACAGATACTAGTCATACTTCATCTTCCCGACAAATAAGAGCTGAAATGAGAACAAAAAAAAACTTGATGTAGATGGTGGAGAATGTTCTACAGCAGTCAAACAAGTCAAAAGAAAAGGGAAAGACATTGCAGAGGATGACGACTTTGTAGAGGAGTTCCCTACTCTTCGAACAAGAAAGAAATCAAAGGTGTCTCTTGGTTCTAAAAATCCAAATACGAAGGAACATTCAAAAAAACACCCTAAAATTGTTCAGAACCAATCATTGTCGAAGGTATGCATTTATTAGTTTATTTTCTAATTTTTTTCTTTTTTGTAATTTTATTGTCTGGTTATGATGTTAAAACCTGCGTTATTCATTTTTTTCACAATTGTAGTTTAATTGTATTAATTTTGAAGATTATTGTAGTTGTGATTTTCTGTATTTATAACTTTATTTATATTTGTAGTTTTATTGTACTTATAATGTTATTTACTTACTAGTATTTGAAGTAGACTTGTAGTTTTCTGATTTTGGTTCCTTTTTGTAGAAAAGGCTTTAAATGGTAGTTGTATCGTTAGGTAGATATTTTTGTAGTTATATTCTAGATATAATCTTAGGTAACTACTACAATTTTGAAGCACAATTGTATGTTAGGCTGTATTTTTTAACAGCAGATCTGTATTTATTGTTTCTTACTCATGTCTTTTCATATATGTTTGTATTGAATTTGTAGTTAGATGTAGTTAATATGTAGANGTTGGTAAACTAAATATTACAATATATATATATATATATATATATATATATATATATATATATATATATAAAATCCAGAAATATATTTTTGTCTAACGAAGAGTTTAATGAGCAGCATCACTTCAAGTTTTAACGGTATTATCTCCACATGTAACTAAATCAAAGTAAATAAACAGGCGATAAAAAATAGGAAATTTTACACCCTATAGAAAAGCTCAGTACCCTATTTATTTTAAATAAATACCATTTTAAAATATTACATCCTATAGATACCTTTTATCCTTTATAGCAAAATATCTAATTATAGTCACATCCTACATTTAAGACACCATATATGCTAAATAATATTTTTCTCTCTCCTTTTTAGTCTTTTCTCTCACATAATCACCGTAAATCTTACTAACCACGTTTTCTCTCTCTTTTTGCATACACTTTACTCTCTTCTCCCACAAACCCACGATTCATACCTCATCTCCCACCCAAATTTGCTAGGTCTCCGCCATTATCACTCCCGCACGAAGCTCGCTGACCGTCGCCGATCGAAGAGCGTCACCGACGACGACCTAGAACAGCTTCGTGCTTGCTTTGACTTACCGAAACTCACCGAAACTTGTTATGTTTCGGTGGTAATTGGAGTCGAACTTACACTTGTTGTGCAGAAAACTTCTGCTAATACCATTGGACTATGGTGGTCTCAATTGATATAAATTTCGAGAGATAATTGTCAATATGGTGGTAATGTGCTTGCTTTGGATCCGAAACTCACCGAAACTCTTCCTGCTTTGGAGCTATATCAAGCTGTGAACAAGCAGTACAGTAATAATGTATCTAGAACAAAGACGCCGGAGTTTGGGGCTGAGCAACTTATTTTCTGTTAATATATTATAATGTATTTTTATGTATTTCATTGTATTCGTTATCTTTTTTTTCATTGAATTCAATGTATCTCGTTGTATTCCATGTATTTCACTGTATTCACTATTTTTTTCATTGTATTTCAATGTATCCCGCCGTATTCTATGTATTTCATTGTATTCACTGTCTCGCTATATGTCATGAATGTATTCATATGTTTTTTTTTAATTAATATAATTTATGTATTCAGATGTATTATATAATTTCTCTGAAGATTGCTATGTTTTTGGGTATTTTTCGGTTGAGAATATTTTTTATAACTGAAATTACAAAAATTGTATGCTATAATTGAGTTTGTTGAGTTATATTAGGAGCCTATTATGTTAATTGATTCACTTTCAGTTTTAAAAACAGTGTAATCCCATGTTTCACGCCGTGAATACAGTCGAATACAATAATCTGTCTAGCTGTAATCCCATGTTTCACTCCATGAATACAGTCGAATACAACAACTGATTAGCTAGACTTTCCTGATTCACGCCTATTTTTGCTACTGTATTCATGAATACAATAGCTTAAATACATCAAATACATCTTATAACCACATAAAAGGTATCTATAATCCGTAATATAGCAAATGGTATCTATAAATGGCTAATTACTACTAAAAGATAGTGCTTTATGAAAAGGAATTTTTACATTCCTATCCCACTTATGAAACCTTTTTACCCTGCATGTTTAAGGTTTCACTTAATTACATTTAGCATACCAAATTACCATTTATATACCATATCTAATTAAGGTTATAATTAATGTGATATTTTATACTCCTTAATTTAAGCACTTCCGTTATTTGACATTACTAAGTACTAATCCTCTATTTCTCTCTCCTAACCCCTCATCCCCATACCCCCCACGTTCATTTGTACCCTCCCACGCTTATTCCTCCATTTTTCTTCTTCTGTAACCACTCTCTTTACCTCTAAATTCAAACAAAATCCAGTAAACCCTACAAACAAATTCCTATCCTCATTTTTATTTACTTGAATTTCATCAATGAAGATCAAGCAAGGTTCGAAAACGAGTCCAAAAAAACCAGCAGTAGGTGAATTACCCTCCTTTGATTTGGGTGTTTTATCCCCCAAATCCCCCAAAAACCTAGGTAAATCTACACATGCACTTACAAATACTAGTCATACTTCATCTCCCCGACAAATAAGAGCTGAAATGAGAACAAAAAAAAAAATTGATGTAGATGGTGGAGAATGTTCTACAGCAGTCAAACAAGTCAAAAGAAAAGGGAAAGACATTGCAGAGGATGACGACTTTGTAGAGGAGTTCCCTACTCTTCGAACAAGAAAGAAATCAAAGGTGTCTCTTGGTTCTAGAAATCCAAATACGAAGAAACATTCAAAAAAATACCCTAAAATTGTTCAGAACCAATCATTGTCGAAGGTATTCATTTATTAGTTTATTTTCTAATTTTTTTCTTTTTTGTAATTTTATTGTCTGGTTATGATGTTAAAATCTGTGTTATTCATTTTTTTCACAATTGTAGTTTGATTGTATTAATTTTGAAGATTATTGTAGTTGTGATTTTCTGTATTTATAACTTTATTTATATTTGTAGTTTTATTGTACTTATAATGTTATTTACTTACTAGTATTTGAAGTAGAATTGTAGTTCTCTGATTTTGGTTCCTTTTTGTAGAAAAGGCTTTAAATGGTAGTTGTATCGTTAGGTAGATATTTTTGTAGTTATATTCTAGATTTAATCTTAGGTAACTACTACAATTTTGAAGCACAATTGTATGTTAGGCTGTATTTTTTAACAGCAGATCTGTATTTATTGTTTCTTACTCATGTCTTTTCATATATGTTTGTATTGAATTTGTAGTTAGATGTAG